ACTAGCAAACTCCGCGTTCTGTTACCAACTCTGTACACCGGCCGAATAGTTTGTGAATCAGGTAAAGAGAGTGTTTCGTCAATTGCTTGTTTCCGTTGGGCTAGTTGAGGTGGATAAGCGGCTCCTACCGAGCTCAGGCAAGAAGATTGGGTTGGCGTTTGTAAAGTCTCCTGATGATCCAAGGCCTTGCATATATGACGAAGTGAAGAAGCTGCTGGAAGAAGCTGTGGAAGTGGTTATAGAAAAGCAGGTGCGCCAGATAGCGGAAGACTACAGTTCAGGTCACTACGATTTTGAAGCGGCCCCAGATGGGCCTCCGACTCCGAGACAGCGTGTGGCCGAGGATGATGACTCGGTCCATCCGCCCGACAACTCGGCGCTAGACGACTCTGTCGAGCGCCAACGTAACGACGAAGCCGCTGTACTTACCGGAGGCTTAATCAGCGCCGCCGAGTACAAGGAGAAGCGACACTTAGAGATACGGAACAACGTGCCGATGGGAAGGGCCCGGGAGGAACCAGCCATTAAGGACCAGGCAGATTCAGCTGCGCTCAAGAGATACGACATCATTCGCAGGACTCAGGAAGATCGCTGGGGCCTCAGCAAGTCAAAGCAACAACGTCTCATGACCAAGCTTGAGCGAGAACTTGACAAAAGTAGTCCTCCATGATCCGACTATATGCTCAGTTACTGTATGGTCTAGTCCATGGCCACATACTGAACGGTTGGGTGCTGTCAACCGTGGGGTCCAGGTCTTGGGTCCTAACCATGTGGGTGCTAACTACGAGGTAGGTACCGTATTGTCACCGTGATGACAATGCCGGTTTAAGGAGGGTTTGTATGGCAGGTGTGAATTGGTTAAGGTCGAGTGTGGGGAAGTGTCGCTCGATGGCGATGCCTAGTTTCCTGCTGACTGTGGCGTGTCGATTGGCGAGGTCCTTGTGTATGGGCAGCCACCAGCGGAGGCCTTGATTGGGTTGTGCGTCTTCGGCTTTTTGGAGGAGGGTGAGTACAGTATGTTCATGTGCACTACGTCGTTTGTGTGCGTACACCTGGAGCGCGAAGGCGAGATGTGCGACGAACACATCTCCGTTGGCGGGAGCGGCCTCGCGAGCTTTGTTGAACCACTCATGTGCTTTTCGCTCCTTCTTCTCACTCTCGAACAACTGCGCTGCCGCCAAGACTACGTACACGTCATTCTCTGTCGCCTTCAAACCCTCCACCACACGCGCCCCCTTCGTCGCCGCCGGCGCCGTCTCGACCAAGGATGCCCACAACAGACCTGACTGAGGACATGCCCTCAACCCCCGAGCCAGTGTCGCCGCCGGGTCCACTCCGCTCGCCACATCCAAAGCCACCGCACGCATCCACAATAAGTCCGATCCTGGCAACAAAACACTCCCGCGCTCCCGTAGCGCCCGAGCACGACCAAGATTACCCATACGCACGCACGTATCCACCAAACCCAACCACAGCTCCGCTGCCGTCGGCACCTTCTTTACCCCCGCTTCCAATATGGCCACCGCACGCTCCTCCGGAACTACCGTCGAACTTGGAGTTGGATTCGAACCCGGGACTTGGGCCGAAACGGCGACTGGCTCCGAATATGGAGCACTAGCGATGCCAGCGTCTGCCTTGGCAGACTCTGCTCCGCCAGATTCTGTTACGGCAGACTCTGCCCCGGCCGGTTCTGACTCCTGCTTCACGTAGGACTTTGCTCCATCTTTAACCTCACTCCTACTTCCCTCCGACTCGGTTTTTAGACTTGGGCTCTCCAGCTCCAATTGAGCCCCGATGAGCCACAAGTAGGCGGCGGAGGGGTACTTGTCAACTGCGTGTTTCCAAACATCTCTGGCTTGTTCGTAGTCTCCCTTGAGCCGCAAACATGTCAAGTGATGTTTTCGTAGCAATGGGCTGTCGAACCCGTCAGCCCCCCAGGCACTGGTCCCTGACGCAGTCTGCCCTGACGCAGTGGTCCCTGACGCAGTGTGCCCTGAGTCAGTGGTCTCCGACACCCTTACCGCTGCGGAGATGATGTCTAGTGCCTTGTCAAGACTACCGAAGCGGGACTCCAGTTTCACACCAGCAACAAGGAGTTGTTCATCTCGGGGTAGTACCTTGAGTCCTCGGGCAATCGTCGCCCGTGCGCGGTCCATGTCCTTAGACCATTCCAGATAATGTTTAGTGAGCATGAGCCAAAAGTCTCGTTTGTGAGGGCAGAAGGTGAGTGCTTCTTCGAGTATCTCGCCTCGTCGGTCGCCCTTGCCGTCGATCTCCAACAGCTTGGTCCAGAACGCCTTTTTCTTTGGAGCATATTTTATCGCGTCCCTCAATAAGTATACTGCACATTGCCGGGCGCCTGCATCCAGCGCCGACCGCGTCTCTTCCAGGCGGTCGTGTTTGTATCGGGCGATGTCCAACTGCACGTCTCTTGCTTGCACGTCTCCCCCACCCCCACTACCCGCACCGGTCACGTTAGCACCGGTCACGTTAGCACCGGATGCGACTTGGTAATCAAGTTTGACGGAGAGTTGTCCACACACGGAGATGATGGCTTCTGCGGTCTTCGTTTTATTGCCGTCGACCTCGCTATTGAAAGCGAATTTGAGCCATTGTTTGCGATCGAATTCGACTCCATTTTGTTCGAGCTTTTTTATAGCTCGAGAAATCATTCTCGTACCATTAGTTCCCCCCCGGGCCTCGTCTAGCTGTGCAGCTGCGAGCCAGATCTCATTAGAACTAGGGCATGTTCGTCCGGCTTCATTGAGAACCTTCATGGCTTCCTGGCCATTGCAGCGTTTGGCAAGTTCGAGCCAGAGTAAAACGGATTGCGGTACACACTCTACAGCCCGGGCAAGGAGGATCTTAGCGTCGTCTTGGGTTTCCAGCGCGACAGCGTCGAGCCAGAGTCGCACGGAGTTACTAATCTGTTCGAGCGCCGCGCGATAGACGATCTTTTTTTCAGCAACTGTAGTCCGTCGGGCAGCGCGTTCAAGCCACAGCTTCACCGAACCCGGGTTCTTGCTAACCCCCGCCGCTAACCAATCATCCGCCTCTTCCGGCGGCTGCAATCCCGCCGCCTCGATCCAGACCTCCTCGTTTTGCGGACAGTTTGCACACGCCTGACCAATAATATCTCGCGCCTTCTGCAACCGCCCAGCCTGCATCTCCAGACGAGCATACGCCAACCACCCACTCGCATTAGCAGGGTTCGTCACCACTATCGATTTCATCAACGCTCTGTTCTTCTGTAAGTCCTGCGAATTCAACACCGACCGTCCGTCCAACTGAGTCAAATAACCAGCCGCGTCCACTCCCACCGCCTCGCCGTGAGTTCGTCTCGAATCCGCACTCACGGCATCCAGACGTGTAAAGAGCGCCGCGTTCCGCGCCTCGCCCATGACCAACGCGCCACCGGCAGGCAAAGGTGTCTGGAGACCATGCGGGGTCTGCAGTCCCAACGGAGTCTGGAGTCCCAGGGGGGTCTGCAGTCCCAACGGAGTCTGGAGTCCCATGGGGGTCTGGAGGCCCAGAGGGGTTTGGTAACCCAACGGGGTCTGCAGTCCCAACGGAGTCTGGGTGCCGGCCAACGGTGTTTGGACGCCGCTGGGTGGTGCAACGCCGAGGGGCGTCTGCGTTCCGCCCAGGGACGTGGCCGCGCCGGCGGGCAGGCTGCCGAGGGGCAGCAGGTAGTTGGCCTCCTTAGCGCGGAATTTTTCCGGGATCGGCGCCTGACGGTCCCAACGTTTTTGTTTCTTATTTAGTCGAACATCGCCGATATCAGGAATACCATCCCACTCCTCGGGAGTGACCTGCGCTAACCGCAGCTTCAAATCGCTGAAGGTCTGCTGCAACGTCGACTTCTCCGCCCGCGCCTTCTCCACTTGCTCCTTCAACGTCCTATCGCGCTGCCGCTTCCGCCTCTCGTCCATCACCTCCTCCACGCGCCGATAAGTCGCCTCGGCTTCCTTGTCGTCCTCGTCCAGCACCGCATCGCCGAACAGACTTTCTTGGAAACCCGCAAACGCGTCGTACTTCGCTTCGCTATAGTCCCCGCGATCCAGGTCCACCGTCGTCGACAACGACGAACTCGCATCGTCGCGACTTACGCCGCCCGCGAACCCCGTCGCGCCACGCCCGCGACCCGGCACGTACCCCGGTGGCGGCTGGCCCCACGGACTAAAACGCAGATTGTGACAAAAAGTGTTTGCGCAAGTGTGTGCACACGCCAGAGACGTGTGCAGACCACCGGGGAAACGCAGGCATATAACGTAGGAGCATTCAGATAACGCCGGGAGCGTCAGGGGCGGTGTGGGCTTACTCATTTTGCAAGGTCGCGGTGGTCGATACGCTCGACCGCACGACTACCGCCGAGGGGTGGACTCGACCACTTTCATTCCTACAACAGCACCTCGTTAATACTTTGCCTCCACCTATGGAAACACTTTCTCAACCAGAACACGCCAACTAGCGCCCCCTTTGCACTCGATGCCAGCACCTGGTGCCGTCCCCTCCGTGCAGTCCCCTCAGTGCCAAGACTTACCCGTCAGTAGCCGCCTGCATTGACTATTTTTACCAGCTAAATGTCCTTCGCCCGCCCGCCTGTCTTGGCCCCTTGCCTCGTAACCCGCCCTTTGCCACTCAGTCCTTGATCCCAAGTCCTTGATCCCAAGTCCTTGATGCCAGACCCTTAGCCCTCAGCCTGCGCCACCGATTAATTTTAGTCGCGCCAGGCGACGTGTACTTCGTCGGTTCTGAATCGTTGTGTAAAAGTTGTTTCGTGGAAGGGCGTGGGTCCGCAGCTCTGGAACATGAGGATGCCAGTCCAGGCGATCATGGCGCCATTGTCGATGCAATAACGGTCGTCGGTGGCACAGAGACTGGCGCCGCGTTCCTGTGCCATGATCCCCATCATTTCCTGCAACCGAAGGTTACACCCGACGCCGCCGACCAATAGCACCTGGTTCGAACGTGTGTGTGCCATCGCGCGCTCCGTAATTTCTACGAGCATCGCAAACACCGTTTCCTGCAGAGTTCCGCATAGGTCCGCCTTCACTTGCCGCAACCGAGCCTTTGACTCATTGGACCTGGATTTCGACTTCACAACGAGGTCCTCAGCCGCAGCGTCTGAGCCTTGGACACCATCTTGGACACCATCTTGGGCACCATCTTGGACACCATCTTGGACACCATCTTGCCCGTCCCCGTCGTTATGAGGATGGTCTTGTAGTAAGGGACGGTAGTGAGTGTCGATAAGTGCGGTCATGGCGGTGATGATACCGGACATACTCATGTCCATGCCTTTGACGGTGTATGGCAGTTTGTGTAAAGTTTGTGCTTCCTTGGCGAGTTGTTCGATTTGCCAGCCAGGTGCTGGTGCGTTGGGCAGCTTCAGTTCTCGGGCAACGCGGTCGAGTGCGTTTCCGACAGCGACGTCGAGAGTTTCGCCGAAGACAGAGTAGCGACGGTCGGTGTATGATATAACTTGTGTGTTGCCCCCGGAGGCGTAGAGGACAGTAGGGTTATCTGCGCCAGTGACGACGCGGCCCATCTCGATGTGTGCGATACAATGGTTCACACCCACAATTGGAACACTCCACAGCTTGCACAAAGTCCGTGCCACCATAGCTCCACACGACAGAGGTCCCCCCATACCCGGTCCCTTTGTATAACACACTAACCCGATGTCCATAGGCGTCAACCCCGACTCTCGCAAGGCTTGTCGCACCAACCCCAAGACTTCCGCACGGTGATGCTTCGCCACCAACTTAGGCAGAAACCCCTCCCCCGCCGGCGGCGAGTATGTCACCCGCGGGTTCGCCAGAATCGACCCGTCCGACCGCACGATGCCCACGCCTATCTTGTTAGCACTACCCTCTATGCCCAGCGCCACCAACATTATCGCTCACGGAATTACACAACGCACCGCACAAGCATCCGGAAACCCGCTTCTAGCACCACTCAACCAGCCCGCTGACCCACCCACTCACATAGCTGTCCCAGATGTTCTGGGCGCCGATACATGTTCAGGGCGCCGATACATGTTTCGGGAGGAGCATGCCCTGACTGGTAGAACTGTGTTCCGACAGATACACTACGGCGGATACACCAAGACAGGTACACTACGAAACTCTAGTTACGACGACACGTTGCGGCTATGACATTGAATAATGACTGTGGGGCAGTCAGTTCCCGTTCAAGCGGAATTGTGCATGCACCCCACATCTAGCAATGGGAAAGTACAGTCAAGACCGCCCTCATCACTTCTTGTTCAGCGACAAGTCGACAGCTGCTTACTCTAGTCCGGTACGGGCGTCGTTGAGGCGTTCAGGTTCGTTGGATCTGAGCAACTTGTTCAAGATCGAGCGCGACGACGTGAGGCCGGAACCGGCTGACGAGAAGGTAGAGCTGGGAGGGCGCCGCCGCTCTTCGACCAAGGCAGCGGTGAGCAAGGGCCGGAAGGTGGTTAAGGCCGCCCCTGCGCGGAGGTCGAGCCATACCCGACGAGCGAGCAGCACCCGTCGTCACACTGGGGATTCCCACTTTGTCAACACCGAGACGGACGCCGGAAGGAAGGGGGGCCGGATGTCACCCGTGACCGCCAAGAGGACCTTGGCTGTACACAGAGCCTTGGGCGGGTCTGTCGCAACAGAGCCTGCCGCGATCGACCTTCAGGTCGCACCCTTCTCAAAACAGAACAAAAATCAGCGCGCCAAGGAAACGGTGGAACTAGACATTCCGGTCAAAATCCAAGTTGGGATAGCTGAGCCCACCCAAAAGGCCGTCCGTAACAAAGGAGCTGCTCAGAACAAAGGGGCCGTCAAGAAGACTCCAGCGAAAAAAGTAGCGGCCAGGAAAGCCCCAGCCAAGAAAACGACGGCCAACGAGGCTGCTCCGGTGAAGGAGACGCACAAGGGCATCACAGCCAGCCAACTGCCGAGGGAAGAGAAGCTGGCCAACCTCGAGAAGGCTCGTGAGGTCAAGGCTCAGAGTACCAAGGCACAGAGTACGAAGGCCCAGGGTACGAAGGCTCAGAGTACCAAAACTACAAATCAGGAAAGTGGAACCAAGAACGTGCCTGCCAACAAAATCCCTAAGTCCGAGAAGTTGGCCAACCTGGAGAAGGCCCGGTCGGTGAAGGCCAAGAATACCCGAAGCGTGAAGAAGGCTTCTCCAAAGGCGGCTAAAAAGGCACCAGTAAAGAAGGCGCCCGTGAAGAAGGCACAGGCCGCGAAGGGTGCCGCAAATCAGAAATCAGTACTCAAGGTCCGTAAAGGCCCTAGCTCTAAGACCAAGGCTGCTAAAACCGAAGCGCATGAGTATGAAATCGATACGATGGTTATGAAAGAGCCTTTGACGGCTGGAAAGGCTGGCAGGAATAGAACTCTTGAGGTGAACAAGAAGCAGGATCTCACACCTTCAGTCAGGAACTTGTTGGAGCGCGCTGACGAAGCTTTTTCCGAGGGGTCCGACGACGACCACGCGAACGACCTCTACGTCGTGCACGAGTACGTCGCCGAAACCTCGGAAGGAACTTCGGAAGGCACATCGAGTGTATCTGACTATGAGGAGGAGGTTGCTGAGAACGATGGTTCTCTCGTTGGCAAGCTCAAATCCTTCCTTTTCTGAATAACGCGTAGTACGCACGCACGCACGCACGCACGATTTTCGCCAAGGTAGAAATCCCAGGTCCAGAATGCTGTCGAGGGGAGGTGTAGTTGGGATGCCAGTTACATTCCTGCATCAAGTCAGACATGCATCATTAAGTAGGTAGTCTTTGTCCGGCTTTTGCTGTGGTGGGGTGGTGAGTATTTATTTCGTAATTGTGAGCAACAAGGGTTGTGGGGTGCGTGTGAGGTGCAATTGAGTTACGCAGAGATGAAGCAGAGTAAAATTGCCGTCGCTCCCGATCAAGACGAGACTTTGAATTATTATGACGAGCCTCTAAAGTTGTACTGTCATGCTTGTGAGAGGCAAGTGATAAGTCGGGTGAAGCAAAAGTCTAACTGGGAGACCTACACAATCTTGGTTTTATTGTTGCTATTGACTGGGATCGTGGGAGTGTGTGTGTTCCCATTAGTTCGTCAATATACAAGGGACGCATCACATCGCTGCCCGAGTTGTAAGTCGGAAATTGTACGTTACAAGAGATTCAGAATGCCAGCGGTCAGTAATGAGGTGATTACTTTGCAGTGTGGTAACTGTGCAGTAGTCCTTGCTAAACGGTATTTTGTTGGTTTCACTGCGCTAGCATTTCTTATTATGGTTCTAAGTCTTACTAAGACCTACCTTAAATCATTCAAACTACCCGACCTAGAACCTGGAGAACCCATTAATCAGTCCTGGCAAGATTTTATTGACGATTGTGGCACCAGTAGTAATTTGGGTAATCCACTTAAAACCAGGCGTAATTTTAACGAAATCTACTATGGAAAATCTGCAACAAACTGGCAAGGCAGAATCAATCATGTACGACTCGGAGTGCTAGGGAAAAACTTCATCTTCGTCAATATGCCTCTCCATGATAAAAGCTCCAGCACCGACCCCGATGTTGGACTTATATATAGTTCAGACACCTGGGATGATGTTGTTTCAGATTTTGAACGCGGGGACCTTGTTATGTACAATGCCACTCTTCTAGAACTTGGATCCAGATCGGAACCTACACTCGCCAGCCTAGACGGAATTATCAAAATTACAAGCAACGAAGATCTACCTCCAATGTACCCGTCCGTAAGCTAAATGCACTCCTTTCCCCCAACATCTTCTCCCTCCCTCTCAACCCTCCCCGGCTACATAACACATCTTGCCGTTCGTGAATCACAGCAATTGGATCCGCGCCATTTCAATATTTGCTCGCTCCAGAAACCTTCGGATTGGATTAAAAAACCGCCTATCGCTCATGTACCCAGACTGATGAAAGATCTACGGAAATCAATGGCAGATGATTCTGACGAGATGGAGGCCTTGTACATGGGTGATGAACCAATTTTAGTTCGGAAACATTAACGGCGCTATTTTCGTGTGCACACGCATTTGCGATGCGGATCTCGTCACTTCTCGCTTCAGTGTTCTTAACCACGCCCCAAGCTTCGTCACGGGTCTCACTCTCCTCGCCGTGTACAAGGGAAACCATCATAGAAGGTTTGGAGTCTCACCATATAATCGCTGACCCCGCAACAATTGACGCAGCGACAGGCGCTTGCCTGAAAGTTTTATCGGAACGCCAAGAAGAACCACGCCGTGCAATGCGGCAGATGTCTTCACCGTCTGAAAAAAGGCCGTCTGAAAAGAGGCCGGTGCTTAGGATCCCCATTTACAGGTCGGAGGAGCTGGAGGAGTATGAAATCTAAGGCTGCGTGAAATCTGAGGCCGAGTATGGAATCTGAGGCTGGGATTTGAGCTCAGTCTGCAACTGAGAGTCAAGCTCAATTTTTTTGTGGGGGGAACTGCATTCTATCTATAAAGCTGTTCTATTCATCGAATTGCGTCCTATCTATCAAACCAAGTTTCTTCGAGCCCGTAAAGCCTGGTAGGCTTCACGTGTCCGGACTGACCAGGAGTCTTCTGACGGGAGTTTTGCCAGTGACTGAGCCGAGTTGTTGCAAAGCTTGCTTCGATTCCAGATCTCTTTCTAAGGAATTGCGCGCGCTGTTTGCCGCTCTAATAACGTTTTCTTGTTGTTCATTACCATGGGTCTTCGCCATGCGGAGTGCCACGAAGGTATTGATTAGTAGTTCTAGAACGTCGGTTCTGATGAGATTGCGGTAGGTCATGGAAGAGTCTAGGATGTATGTATCGGATCGGTCTTGGAAGAAGAGGATGACCTTCTCGATCCAGCAGCAGTGCGTTGCATTGGGTCCTGCCGTTTGTAGTGTGGTGAGGTAGTTTAGGAATCTGCAGTATGGTCTCCATTGTTGGTCAATGAGGGCAGGGTTGGCATGCAGGACGAGGCAGCATGAGTCTCGTTCTTGGTCTTCATTGACCCGGTACCTTTTAACGGCCGGTTCGGGGTCGTCGGCGGAAGTCTTGCAGATGCCGGGTGAAGGGTAGTAGAGAGACAGCTTTTTGGGTGACGATGCCAAGTAGAGCATGCTGAAGAGCACCACTGTGTCTAGCAACTCGACAGTAAGACCTTGAAGACGGGCATGGTACTGTATACACCTCACCATGCAGGTAAAAAACTCTTTCCGCATCCTCATCAGGTTGCAGGGCATGTATCCCAACTGGACTGTACACCAGGCAGCCATGGCTGATCTTAATCCCTCGAGAGAAATCATGTCCAACGGATTTAAGTAACTTCCCAAGGCGGAAGCCAAGACACTGGCACACTCTGTTAGACAACTAGCCAGTTTATGGACCCCTTCCGCGCCCTCCACGGAGACAAACGCGGTCGCCTCCTCGCCCCCCTCAGGTCGGCCTGATAACAGACGTCGCAGTTGCGCTCCCCAACCGGAATTAGGAGGCATTTCCGGGTTTTGAAGTTTTCGCAGACACTGACCCACGTTGCGATACACGTCCGCAATCAGCGCAAAGTCCACCGTCTGCAACACGTAGTTGATGGACGCTACCACGCCCGCCAGCAAGTATGGCAGCACTACATTCACGGTGTATCGGATCGACTCATTCATCTCCCGACAGCCCCGGAAAGCGGCCTCGACTGCGTGTTCCAACTCATTCAGGAAATCCACAATGTGATCGCGGAACCGTAAGCACAACTCGTCCGGCAACCCGAAACTAGGATGCGTCAGGGACGGAATGCTCTTAGTAAACACCACTAACATGGCCACCTCCTCGTCACCCAGCGGCTCTCTCCGACCCGCATCCTCTGTATCCAATCGCAACAATGACTTTTGCACCGCCTTAAGTATCTCCAACCACTCATTCATATATTGCACCAGGAACTCCGCCAAACCGACCCTCAGAGTTAGACGCAACATCTGAATCCAACGACCCGTACCCAACTCGGACTGTTTCCGCACCACCCGCTTCAGCACCGCCGGCAATACCGGGTCCACGACGTAGCCTGGCCGACTGGACAGCTCTAGGATTGCCGCCATAACCAGTTCCGAAACGCAATTGGCTGGCGTCTTAGCTGGCGAACGGGCCATGAGCTCCAGCCCGAAGGCGAGCAACTTCACGTCGAACTTCTGCTGCAGGTAAACCATAACGGCGTCGTCGTCGGCTGGGGTTGCAGAATCCGTCGCCGCCGCAGAGTCTGCCATCGCATAGTCCAGCGGTGCTGTGTCCAGCGGTGCTGTGCCCAGCGATGCTGTGTCCAGGGTTGTCCCCGTGCCTGAGGTCCCCGTGCCTGAGGTCCCCGTGTCTGAGGTCCCCGTTCCTGGGGCAGGGACTTGTTTAAGCAGTTGTAGACTGCAGGCCAGCAACAGACAGCCCAGGACGAGCTGGTTCGGCTCCAGGGCGCGTAGCCACTGTTCCGTTGACAGTGGCAGCTTTGCGGGGTTGAGGTCCATGGTCCGGAAGCCGTAGAGGAAGAGCCCCGCGCTTAACTTGGCCTTGTCGGCGACCGATTCGGCCTGGACTCCATACTCTAGGATACGGGGCAGAACGCCGGGGTACTTTTCGGCCCAAGTCAATAACAGCTCGAGTGTCCGTGTGTGATTTTGATTTTTGTTGATGATAGTAGAGCCAAGCAGTCGGCCAAGTATTTCGCAAATTGCCCGTGAATTAACAGGGATTGGTTTCTGGTCCAATCTACTCAGGTCACAGGCGATGGCTTCTCTCTGCAATCGCGAAACCAAGTCATCCAGCCCGATAAATTTCGTGATGTCATACTCCGGCAAATGTGCCGCTACTGCCACTAATTTTATTAACTCCAAACGCACACGTGAATCCACGTCATGGACCGATGGACTCAACGTTACAAACAACTCCTTACATGTCTCCTGGGCAAACGGCTGCTGCACTAATTGCACAATACCTGTGATCACGTTCGCACGCGCCAATGGACTTTTCTGGTCACGCAAAGACTTGGTCGTGACGAACATCAATGTGTCCGCGATGAACTGCGGAGGAATAATTGTCCAACACCCGTGGAAGATCAGGAAGCAACATTTGACCGCTGTTGCACGCACCAACGGGTGCCGGTCCTTCAACGACGTGGTCAGCAACCCCAGATTTCTACCGAAATCGAAGAGTGGCGGACGTAGGAGATAAGGGGCAGGGGGAGCAATCCAGGTGCAGGGATAGCGGCAGGGGTGGACACAATGTAGGGGAGGGGTGCAGACAATATAGTGGGGGAGGAAGCAATGCAGGGGTGAACACAATGCAGGGGAGGGGAGGGTACTCGTCCAGTTGGTGTTCGTATTCGGCTGCGGGCAAGCTGGAGTCGATGAGGGGAAAAGTGTCAGCGAAAAGCTCCAAGCTGTTTCTTCTGACTTGGTAGTTTGCTGCGTGTATGCATTCATTGATGTCTAGAATGAGGGATCGTTGGTGAAATTCTCGGAGAGCCTTGAACTTTTTGCCGTGGATGGGTTTAAGAAGTTTTCGATATTTGTAGAACAGTTGTTCGTGGCTTCTCAAGGCGCGGTCCTGGAGACTCTTGATGATGGATTCGTAGTGACTGAACATGCCGGGCATTTCTGACATGGTGACGAAGATGCGGTAGAGCATATCGCCAACATATTCCTCTAAAATGTTGCAAGTCTCAGTGCTGGGCGCCTTGGATTTCACGGCCACGCCGACCATGGCCTTGGTTACGTCGCTGATAAAATCGGTATCTAACAATGTCAGCACCGTCGTCAGGAACCGGCGCCCTTCGTCTGTGTTCATGCAAGGATTCATGTAGAGGTTGAGCAATATCCTTCGACCCTTTTCGAGAAAGTCATACTCCATCTCGCTACTCATTTCACGTGCCGGTGGCAGACTTGGGCCCGAGCCTCCACTTCGGCCCTTACTCAACTCACCGAATGCCGACCTGATTTGATACAAGTGCTTCTGGAACTGCTGCTGCTTTCCTTTAAACTTGACCCGGTGCAAAGCGTTGAACACCATCATCAACTGAAAGTCACATCCCATCGCTGCCGTTCCATCAAACTCAAAGAGGGGCTGAAGTAGCACAGTCTTCACCCAGTCTTCATTATCGTTAAACTTCGCCTTACACAGACCTACCATTAAACTATACCATTAAAACCCGGATGGCCATCCCAGATCCACTTTGGTGAGGGAAGTTACTCGCGTATGTATCAATGCTATCTATTAAATCAGGTGGGATATCTGCCGTCAAGGTCGCCTTCCTTTTGGAAGGCAATTGCTTCAACAGCTCGTTGCCTCTTTTCCGTAGATCATCCGCTGTACAGCTCTCGTGAAGAAGTGCATGATCTGTCATCATGGATTCAACCATCCTTTCTTTAGTCTTCTTGATTGTTGTTGCTAAAAATAGTCATCATATTTGATACCCAATACCACCAACCCAAATGGCTACGGAAACCAGCCAGAGGTTGGAGCCCAAATGACTACCAGAGGTTGGAGACGAATCAGAGGAACCAGAGGCATTTATAAGTGGCGCTGCACCCATGACATTCTATTCTGATGACCTGACCTGCGGGCAGCTCGTCGTCGCCTGGCAGAAAATGCTCAGCTCCGCACCTGCACACTAGCGCATATTCTTCTTCTCCCAATTCTAGCAGCTGAAATGTTTTTTTCCCATTTGTTTCATCAACATCTGCTGGAATTCTTGCGATGGTTGCATTACTCCACGGCTCGTAGACTTTGGATTTTTGAGGTCGAGTTAATAGCTCATAGGCTTCAACGAGCTTTGGAAACCTGTCCTGTTCCGAATATTGTAATAAAGCTTTAGGAATTTCCCCAACCACGTGGGCCTTATCAGGGTGGCATAGCAAGCAGAGCTCCCGGAATCTTCTCCTTAAGCCACCACCAGAATCTGGTCCCAAAATTTCTCGTGCAACCTCTAACTCCATGTATGTGCAACCCTTAACACTGGTGTCCAAGAAAGCACCTCTAAAACAGAACAGCCGTCAAAGCGAAAATCGGAGCGATTAAATTATGTTCAATGGAGTGGGTGTGCCTACTGCCCGCGGCACTGGAACTAGTGGATATGTGCAAGGTAACAAGGCCCTGCTGAAAGGACACCCGGGCAATAGAAAGAGGCAACGAGACCATAAACGCATCAAAGAGCCCGAAAAGGATGTGGTTCTCATAGAGCATGAGAAAGCCAGAATTATCGAAGTTGCAGTTCTTGAATATGAGGACGACCTGAGAGAATCCCACCCAGAAATGACCGAACAGGAAATAGAACAAAAAGTTAGGCAAAAAAGAAACAGCCTAGAGTCTGATTTGCTTCCACAACCACATTCCGATGGTGAATACACTGACGATAACGAATACGCCGAACGAACATACGAGCCAAGATATAATAGGCCACCAGATTCTCGCCAGCGAGATGACTATCAAGAAAGGAGACATGATGACAGAAGCCACCACCATGATGACAGAGGTCATAACGAAAGTTACTATGAGGATGCGAAACGTGGACGATATGATTATGAACCGGAACCCACCCGAAGAAGTGACCTTGAAGAAAGGAGTCACAGCGAGCACGACTTTCCGCCAGAAGATAGATACTATGATTTGTTACCAATAAATCCTCAACGAAATGACTACCAAGAACGGGGCCGTGAGGGACTTGAGTGGGAACAGCCTTTCTATGACCACAGGGGGCTGGAGCGATCAGGCCCTCCGCGAGCCCCCTATGACCGGGGCCGGTCTGAGCGACCTGGGCGACTTGAGCGGGAACAGCCTTTCTATAACCGCGGCCGGCCTGAGCGACTTGAGCGCAAACAACCTCCCTGTGACCGCGAGCGTTCTGCATTAAGAGAACGGGAGCACAGGCGGTCCAACTATGACGCAAGAGAGCGCACGGCTTCGGAGCGTGCGCCTTCCGACTACGAAGAGGGGGAGCAGAGAGATGGCAGAGACCGCGGGCGGAGCGAGTTAGAGGAGAGGCGCAAGTCGTAAACTTCGTTATGAAAAAATGACTATGGGTCTCGTTGGTTCAGCTCCTCCACCTTGAATTGGTCAAAGTCTCCAATCAGCGTGGTAGCAAAGCCCTCACTGATGCTGGCGACAATATGTAGGGCGGCCATGAGCGGGCTCAGGGCGCACCGGACACACCGGCCGACGACCCACAGTAGAAGCTTCCAGCGTTTTGATTCAGTTTTCAACTGTTGCTTCGTGTGGACAACCAACGAGTACCAGGGGTTCCAGAGCAGGTCGAGCATGAAGCCGCGGAGGCCCTTGTTGAATCCGTCCAGGATCGAGTTGGGTCTCGGTCGTCGGCCCTTGAACAGCTTGTGGCCAATATCTGCGATATGCGAAATGAAGTGGAAGGCGCCTCCAAAGAAGCCCAGCATGGTCACCACGAGGCCGAGACGGGCGCCGCTGGTGGGACCGGAAATGGCGAGACGCCAGTGGCGGATGCGATGTTCTTCGCGGACAATCTTGACTAATTGAACGACGCCCCGCAGGATGCCGACAACAGGTGCTCCGACGTAGTAGAGCCAGACGCTGGGGAGCGAGCGTTTGAAGAGGGACTGCAGGTAGTCGCGTCGCGCGCGCAAATAAAGCTCGTGCCAAGTGGTCACGATGAACTTTCGTTCCCAAGCTTGGATGCTCACAGCCATATAGGGCGAGTCGAGAGGAAGCGAGTCGGCGATCCACAAAATGCTGCGGTCGATCTTCTGCCCCGAAGTACGCAACGACACCTGGATGGAGATGGGCGAGAGGCGCACGTTCTCGAAGTACACCGAGTTCATATTCGCCAGGTCCGAAAGCTTCGGCGCCACGCTCGTGATGCACGAACCACTTTGCCAACCCTCGCTAGCCAGCGCGTGCACAGATGCCCGACAGAGCCGGAAGAACACCGCCGACAAACGCTTCGTCTCCTTCAACGTCTGAACCGGACTTGGCGCCAACACCGCCCGCGCCTGCTTCGGCGGCAAGAAACGCGTGCGCACACTTGAAGCCACCTCCGCACCGCCGCGCGCACTACTCACGAACGGTGCCGTCACGATTCCGCGCTCTGACTCCAGCATCTTCGCTAACGCCTCGAGCACCTCCAGCTCAATATTCGCCAGCAACGGCGCCACCACGACCGCAATCTTCTCGTACACACTCGCGTGCGTTGGAGCGAGCAACTGTTTGCGTACGTACGCCACGAACGCTTTCTTCGCCAACGCGCCCTCGCTCTCGCCTGGCCGGCGCTGTCCGAAGTCGCAGAGCAGGTTCTTGTAGTCTCGCAACTCCTGCGTGTCGGCAGCCCAAGTGGTAATGCGCCGCATCTCTGCTCCCAGGTCCGCCATTGCGCGACTGGCAATCGTGCTGCTGCTCTTCAGCAATCCAGGTCGCCCCGCGACCACGAAGTGGTCCAGCGCGACCGAGTCGAGTGTGGCCAGACAGGTGAAGAAGCCCGCGTTCACCAAGGCGTCGCTGATCCGCGCTGTCTGCAGCTGCGCCACCTGTACCGCTCCGAGGTAGTCGCGTCCATGATTCACCGGCCTTAGCGCGCCGGGCAATAAGTCGAGGTCAATGAAGTGGGGTTTGTGTTTTTTTCGTCGCTCCGCTGCCTCCTCCAGATACGCCATGGGCGCGCGCGGCTCGAATTCGCCTAGCACACATTCCTTCGGTGCCACCACATATGCGACCTGCAGCTCCTGCATCAGCGCCTGCACCAAGGGCCGCCCGTTGATGCGCCACGAGACACCGAGCGCCTCCGCCGAGATCATGACGCGTGCACGGACGAACGCCGTCTGGACGCACTGCTTGCGGCCCGGTGGTGTCACCGGTTCAGACTCCGTACTCAAGTCTGTCACAGCCTTAGTCCAAACCCGGAAGATACGCACACCCTCCTTGTTCACACTAGTCTGGCAGTGCGTCACGCAGGCGTACTTGTCACCCATTTCCCACACGCGACGGTCCGAACTGGCACTAGCATCCAACAACGAAGCCGTCGCCCAACGCTCCTTTTTCAAACCAGCCAACTTATACACCACCACGTGCCGAGAATCAGCACACCAAGGCAGTACACTCACAACCCGACTCGCACCAGGCTCCAACTGCGTCAACTCCGACGATTTCTCGCCCTCCCGCAACCAGTCCAATGCACTGTCGAACACTCGCCGTTCCTCCTCCATCGGCCGCACCCGCTTCTTCTCAGGAGGCCATCCCACGATAATCGCCCACGGCGAATCGTTCTTCAAAACAAACTGCGGTGACGATGGCACTGACAACAAAAACCACCGACCCGGAGCCGTCGCCGGTCTCGGCCCACGAAGATCCGATGACACAATATTCACCTGGATCATAAAATAGTCGTCACTGTTCTTGTAATTCACGAACTTCACCTGCACACATGCCGGCACCTCCGCATACGTCAACGAAATCGGCTGAGACACCCACGTGCATGACGCGGACTGCAGCACAATCCATTCAGACATCGTCTGGATCGCCATATCCTGGCACGGACGCAAAAGCACACTGCTATCAAAAGATAGCTCCTCCCGCTTTCGGGGTCCCGGCCGCTTCTGCAAGACCTTCACGAAAACCGCAAAAGGCAAACGGGAGTACACATTCAAAAACGGGGAAACCGTAGTCTTCATACCCATCACGCTGCTGTATGACTGATTCAAAATCGATAAGCACACACCATCGCCACTGCTACTATTCCACGAAATGTCCTTCGGGTCCTTGCTCCCGCCCTTGGGAACGAACAGCGCTTGAAAAAAACTGGAGCCCTGCTTAGACCGTCTCGTCTGCTCCTGCGCTATGTTATAAGCATTCGTACCCCCACTACAATGAGATGGATATATGCTAATGGATGGATCAAGCGGACCGGACAGTAGCGGGGACCAGACAGTAGGGGGGACCGGACAGTAAGGGGGACCAGACAGTAGGGGGGACCGGACAGTAAGGGGGACCGGACAGTAAGGGGGACCGGACAGTAAGGGGGACCGGACAGTAAGGGGGACCGGACAGTTAGGGGGATCGGACAGTTAGGGGGATCGGACAGTAGGGGGAGCAAACACACGATGAAGGCCATAAGGTGGAGACCGTATCTTGTCGTTGGTGGTGTGTTGCGCTTACAAAGGAAACGGGAATTTGATTGGGTCTTGCGACTTCTGCGCAGTAAGATTGATCTTGGCGAGCGGGAGCGACTTTTTCCAGGTGTTACCGAAGCGTCTGAGCAGCGAGATATGGCAGAGGCCGAGCTCTTCCGTGCTGAAGTTGAGCGAGGAGAGGGGCGGGACGGGTTTTTCGTTGATGATGAGGTAGGTGTCCATGAGCGTGTTTTCGACGACGGAAGCCTGCATGATGTCGATGGAGCGGCGGGCGGTGCAGATCTCAAGCGGGTAGTGGTTGTAGATGGACTGCATGACGGATTTGCAGGTCAGTGTGCAGACCTCGCTAAGCTCGGGGTCGAGCCCCATTGCCTGCGGGTTTTTGAGTTGCGAGTCGACGGCCTGCACAATGCCCTCGTCGCCCTGCAGCCAGACTTGGCGGCGCGGCATCTGGTACTCGGGAAGCTCCGCCAGGTCCGGTGGCGTAGTCTGGCCTGCGGCGCAATGGATGTCGTGCTCCGCGAGCAGGCTCACGGCGACGGAGTCGTAGAGTCGGTTGATGGTACCGCTCGGAGGCAGCTGGCCAGTAGCAATGAGACGGCTACCCACGCCAGCGCTAGTCAGGCTACTTGTGCCGTCGCGGTCGGAGAACTGGCCGTCGGTCAGCAACGTCTGCCAGAAATTGTGTTTCATGGCGTAATCCTTCTTAAGCGACTTGAGCGCGAGCGCCACAACTTGGTCGTGGTAACGGCCAGTGAGCATGAGGCCCTTGGCGGCCTTGTAGTACGCCTGGGTAACATGGGTACGGGCCCGCTGCAACGGAAGTCCATGGACTGCGATCGTGAGGTCCAACGTCTGCATTGCCAGCGGCAGACACCAAATCCAGCCCGAGGGGATACTCGCAGTCACGGGACGGCCACTAAAGAGGCGCTCGATCTCATCCGACGTGGCGTGCGAAATGAGTGTTCGACCCGTGAGGACCTCCTCCTGACTGCGCCCCGTCCCGAACTCTTCCTCGTCCGGCTGCGGCCGGTTCTTGGTCGGGCTGGCTAGCGTTACCGTGACGGGGTAGGTGAGATTGTTCTTAATCTTCATGAACGGCTCGATATGCAGCACGAAGCCCTGGACCATCTCTGGCTGGCGAGCGGTCGGAACGTGGAAGGAGCGCACGCTCGCAGTTAGCGCGAGCTGCTTGCCGACCACGAGCGACTGCACCACCTGCAGCAGCTTTCCGAGCCGCCCGCGGATTACGAGCGCGATCGAGTTGCCGGTCTTGTCCAACTGGCTCACACTCTCGGCCGTCTCCATGACGGAGAGCAAGTCCTGCAAGTTGTCGAGATTCTTGGGCGTGCAGAGCGCGCCGCCGCGTTCGCTCTGGTCGTCGGGGTGGCAGAGAACGAGCGAGAACTGTTTGCCTCGCGGATCCTGGAACCAGCTGATGGGGATGGCGTTCTTTTTGAAGGGCAGGACGACGAGGCGGTCAGCCTCCTGCGCGAAAGAGGTTTCGTGTTGCGTGGTATAAACGAGGCGGTCTCGGAGGATCATGAGGGCCTTGGTCATTGGCCGGGGCAAACCGTCGAGACGGACGCTGAGAAGTTTGTGTGCCAAGTGTTTGAATCGGTTGACCCGCGAGGTGCAGTTGAGCACGAGCTTGAAGGGCGTGCTGTTCTCGACAAGCACCGTGGAGCCGACGAAGAGCGCGGAGCTGCCGTCGGCCTGCAACTGCGGCTCGACCATGAGGCGGTAACCCACGCCGTCGACGTGGTACGCCTTCGCGCCCTCCTTGTTGACCTGCAGCAGCCCACAGGCTGTCCAACCGTCGGACTGCTTGAAGATCTGGCTGTGCAGGTTCGCACTACTCAGCTGTGCAAGCCGGGAACGCAACAAAAAGGGCGCGTCCTTTACGATGTCTTCGATCAGACACTCCACGTGCCGCGAAGTCGAAAGCAATAGGTCGCCCTGCGCTCGGGCCAGTTGCACGCGGTACGGCTTCCGCGCTTCAACCAACCCGCGGATGCTCGTCAACGCGCCGTCGAACCGCCCGTCGTCCAGGCTGCTGTGCTGCAGCCGCCCCGCCGCGCCCGGCTCCTCATGGCTGCTCACCAGCCGATATAACTTGGTGTCCGACAGGCACAGCCCGCCATCCTCAGCCACCGCCTTCACACGCTCACGCAACTCGTCGTCCTCCAACAGGATGCGACTGACCGTGAGGAAGTCGCTGTCGCCCAGCAACGACAGGTCGTTCCACATCGCGACCAGCTGCTCCGGCGTGTTGATCAGGAAGCTCTGGGCCGGCGGCTTCGCCTCTCCCGCGCCTAACGTGACTGGAATCGACACCTCGCCCGCGGCACCATCTCCCGTGGCTCCGTCCCCCACGGGGCCGTCAACGGCAGGGCCGTTTCCAGCGACACCTTCCTCCTCGGCCACACGCCGGACTCTGCGCGAACGCGTGGAGAGGCCGCGCTGTTCGAGCATCTGTTCCCGCACGTTGAGACCCGTGGCGCTGCCGTAGGTGAGCACGAGCATTGGTTCGAAGGCCTTGCGGATGCTGAAGAAGATTTCATGACTGGTTTTTTCGCAAACGTGTTCGTTGGCGAGGATTTCAGAGACAGCGACGAGTTTGTCGAGTGCGCCCTGATCGCTCCAGAGCGGCGGACCCTTCTTACTACCCTCTTTGGGCAACTGCACGGTCACGCCCAGTCGGTTGCCAGTCGCGTTGATGACCGTGGCGTGCGTCTCGTCGGGTTTGTGCGGCGTACTGAGTGTGCTGAAGCTGTGTGCGAGGCGGTAGAGGTTCTGCGCCGTGCCCGCCTCCAACGTCGCCACGGTCTTGCTGACCCGCACCTGGATGTCGACCACGGGCAGGTAACGGCCAGTGAGGAAGGTACGACTCGCCGTGATGTTGACGGAAATCGGATCGCTGAGCAGGCTCTCCTCCTTGTTCGCCGTCAGGTTGGAAGCCAACACATGCAGTGTCGCCTCCACACTTGCCTCACTCTCGCCTATGAGCGGCACCGGGCCCTGCATCTGAGCACCCGCGACCACCGCCCGTAGAGTAGTCAGCCCGCGGTCCAGCACCACAATCTCGATTGCTGGAATGAACACACCCACGTGCGCCAGCGGCGACGCGGGGTGTCGGCTCGCCATCCGCTCCCATAACATTCGGCCCAGCGCGGAGCGCGACTTGGGCTTCGAGACGGGGTAGCGCTGCAGCACACGCGCGCGGTCCTCATCGCTATAGCGCGACTGCAAGTTGTCGTATTTGTAGTCATAGACCACCGTGTTGATCTTGTGTGCCCGCTTCAGCTGCTCCTGGTCCTCGAGCAGCTCCTTTTCGCTCAGCACCGGCAGTCCCGGCGTCCCGATCGGCCCAGGCGAGGTGTTCAGGAAGGAGGAGATCGCGGAGCCCGGCAGCCCCGAGACGGTGCCGCTGGTCGTCAGCGGATCGCCCGAGGAGGTGTTGCTCCGGCCCGTGCTGCGCAGCTCGGCCGTGTTCCGGAGCTCGCCGGTAGTTCGGAGCTCGCCCGTGCTTCTCAGTTCGCCAGTGCCTCTCAGTTCGCCCATGCTGCGCAGTTCGCCCGTGCTCCGGTCCACAGTGCTGCGGTCGGCGGTTTCGGAGGGCAGGTCTTGAAGCTCGTCGAGAGGTGCGTCTTGCCGCTTGGTGGCGGCCTTGGTAAGGTCGGAGATGCGGTCGGTTACGGACTGGACGAGCAGCTGCGCCTCCTTAAGCTGGTTCGTACTTATCTGGATGCAGATGCGCGTGGTGGAGAGGGAGGTGGGCACGAGCAGGTTCTTGTTGAGGGTGAAACACTCGTCGTTCGCAAGAGGGATCTGGATGCGGCGGAAGACATCGGGCACGGGCTTCGCCGTCCCAAAACATCGCAGCACCCGGCACTCCCACTTAACGAAGGGCAGCGCAAGCGCGACGTCGTCCGTACGCTCGTGTGGCTCGTGCCCCGCCTCGCCGAGCCCGCTCGGCGCCGCGGAGAGAAGCGCCGTGCCATGGCCCAGCGCAGCGTGCCCCTGTTGCGCCAGGTCCTCGAAGCACAACCGTTGTCCAGAGACCATGCCCACCACCGCTGGACTCTCCACGCCGGCCATGGGCGAGGGCCCACCCATGGCCGAGAAGCAGGACAACCCGAACTCACAACGGAGCTCATCCTCATCCACTCGCAACAGACACCCGCGCGCGGACACCCAGACGGCAATCAGGCTCTCGCCCGGCGTCATCGGCCCAGACGCCTGGTACGACGCCGACTGGTAAGGCGCCGATTGAAACGCCGCAGACTGGAGCGCCGCCGACTGGAACGGTACCGCCGGTACGAGTTGCGATTCAGCCGCCGCGCGGCTGGCCTGCAGGAAGCGCTCGACCAGCTGCTGCGCGCCCACAGCCGTCCCGGCGGTCTTTCCGGCGGCCGTCTCTGCGTCGCCGACGCTGGCGCGTGTTGCGCGTCCGGGGGCGGGCGCGGACTTGACGAGGATAGACTTGGGGACGGAACCGACCGGCGGGACGGCGATGCGCAGGAACCCGGGGTCAGTATGTTTGGGCGCACTAACGTTGCGGAGTGCGGTGAGTTCGCGCAGGTCCCGAGTGGTTTCAATAACCTGTGCGCGCAACGCCGGGTCAAAGTGGTAAGACTTGGCAGCAGCGAGTTTACCCTCGTAACAAACGCTCCAGGAGGGCACACGTAGCTGCCCCGTGCGGTGACCATGGAAGGTGCAGCGCAGCGGGCGCGAAGAGTCGAGCTCGGCGGTGCGCGCAGCCTCAAG